ATCTGCTAGGAGATTACCTATTTAAACACTCTGATCCTAATACTACACCAGGCAAGTAACACCTGGTTCCCGTACAACTAAGTGCCGTCTAACCTAACATTTAGCCTCTCTTCTTCTACATCTGTCAGGCCGTTAAACATTTCAGAATACGTCATCTGACTGTAAGGTTAAGGGTACCTCTCTAATCCTTCTATATCCCACATATTTTTGAATTAGGTTCAGAGAACCTGTCTGCTATGGCCAAGGCCAACACTAGTGGTCAGGGCTAACCATTAAACTGCACAATTCCTGGTTCCCCTGTCCTTACAAGGTTCGTTTCAATCCCGATATCTACATCCACCTTTCTTCTAGCCCTTTTACCGATCCCTCCCAAACTTCCAAACCAGTTAGCCTGGATAGGTTGGTATATCTAGGCTTTAGGTGCCCTATAGTTTTCTTCCTTTGGTTCCTAATTCTATAGCATAGGACCTTTTCCTCCAGTACGACTCCGGCGGCCAGGTTGGTGAACACCTCTTGCCCCAGGGTTATTTCGTCCAGTTCTTCGGTCTCCGGTTTCTGGGATTCCGGTTTCTGGGATTCTGGTTTCTGCAGTATCGTCAAAGATCTTCACTACCTCCTTGCTCGGGACTTGCCAAATTGGTTTCAATTATTCTGGTTCCTTGGCTTTATACTTCGCCCGAAAGCTCCCATTCAAGATGGTGGTACCAAGACTACAGGTGATATACCTAACCGATCGTCGAATAATTGTTACTGAAACAGATCTTAATTTTCAAAATCGTCGCCAGTGGAATTTGAACCCTAGACCTGCTATTTGGGGAGGTGACAACTTGCCAACTGCACTATGTCACCACACTCTTAAAAAATAATATTTAAATAGATCGAAGAATATTACCTTGCTGTAATTAAAGATCATAGTCATGTAGAACCTTTTAGAATTATCATTATAGAAATAGCAGAAACTAGAAAGTCATATCTAATTAAAGCAATTTGATATCTACTTATCAAGATGGCAAGTAAACATAATGATGATACCAAGTCACCTGTATTTGTACTTGCTTCAACTAGGGTTGTAGCATTCAATATTCAGAGAACTACAATTCATTTAGCATTCTCTATTTCAGTCAATAGCTTAAATTTTGATATTAGTGGTAAGCAACTTAAGCAACTACAAAAAAAAAAAACTGGATGGTGCAAATATTTTATAATAAATAAGATGAGTATGGTTGGACATAAACTGCTTGCTTTGATTA